AGTGACTTACCAAACCCTACATGTGATAGTTTTTTTTGGTCAGCTGGGGGTCTAACACACGTGAACCCCATCACCATGATTAAGAGTGTCCGAACCAAACTGAGAATTCCATGCATCCCACCTACACATGGGAATTCCAGAGATAGATTGTTGGAATGAATACGCTCTCTCTCCCTGGAGGAAGATAGCTTCAATTTATTGTCAACCGGGAACCCCTGGTCCTTTTCATTTTCCGAACGCATTAGTTTTCTTGCCCTTTAAATAATAGTCCCTTCCTGGATTTTTTTGTCCCCATGTGAAGCACTTTGTCGTTTTCTACATTGAATTTCATCTGCCATCGATCTGCCCAATTCCCAAGAATGTTCAAGTGCTCCTGTAACCTATTCAACAGCAACAACAACTTGCATTCATATAGCGCCCTTCAAGTGGAGTAGCGTCGCGGAGCACATGTTCATCTTTGTAGTTCATCTTTCATCTATCCTTTTCACCTTTGCAGTCTACCGCCTACAATACCTTTGTCTCATCTACAAATTTAGCCGCTGTGCTTGTGACTCCTAGCTCCAGGTCATTTATAAAGATGATGAATGAAAGATGTACCAAAACAGACCCCTGTGGAACTCCACTGGTAACATTCTGCCAGCCTGTTGATATTCCCTGTGCTACCACCTTCTGGGTTCTAACGGTCAGCCATTTGCGTATCCATTGCAAGATACTTCCTCTGATTCTCAGTTTCTTTATTTTCAGTGCCAGCCTTTCATGAGCAACTGTATCAAAGATCTTACTAAAATTCAGATATACAACATAATAATAATAAACCTTGCATTTAATAAAGCGCTTTTCACGTCTTCTAGCTGTCTCAAAGCACTTCACAGAATATACTGTAAAGTGAATTGACTGTACATTTGTGAGTGAAACGCGGCAGCCAATTTCCTCCCCAGCAGTGTGCCACAAACAATCGTGGATTGAAGTGACTAATTTATTATTGTTTTTTTTCTTGAGGGATTATTAGGAGGTATGTGGAGTAAGGAAGGTTGCCCAAGGTTTTGCCCTGCTGGGAATCAAATCTGGTCTCTCGCATGCGAGGCAAGTACTCTAACCACTGAGCTACAGAACATCTACTACCTTACCATTATCAAGCTTTTTTGTCACATAGTCAAAGAAAACCAGTAAATTAGTTTGGCAGGATCTCCCCTTATAAACCCATATTGGCTATCTTTTATCATTTTAATACTGTCCGGATGCTCCATGATCTTATTTTTAATAAGAGTCTCCATAATTTTACCCACAATGTGTCTTACTCACTGGTCTATAGCATCCTGGATGACTTTTGCTATCTTTTTAAAAAATAGGAGTAACATCTGCTTTTCACCAGTCCCCAGTATTTAGTATGAAAGCTTTGTGCCAGAGTTCCTGCAATTTCCTCCCTAAGTGCCTTAATAATCTGCGGATGCAATTTATCTGGCCCTCGGTATTTATCTGTATTCAGTTTGCACAGTTATTTGCCAAACCCTAATTCCTTATTGCATAAGTTCCAGCTCTCCAGAATTAGGGAAGCAGGGTGCGTTCCTTCAGGAGAGAGTGTGCATTCCATTCCCGACAGCGGAAAATTTCCATGCATATGTGATTTGGTTCGGAGACCCTTAAGCATGGTGATGGGTGTCCGCACTTGTCAGATACCCAGCTGACCAAAAGAAATTAGTGGAACTATACACCTGTATCCTCAAAGCTACCAGCTCCCCCCGCTCAGCGGGCACTAGCCTGCTTCACATCCCCCGCCCTACCATCGGCAGTTGGGCTTTCAACCTTTCTAAGTTGGTGTTCACACAGAGGATCTATGGCAGGAACAAAGAATACTCTGTAATGTTACGGTATGATCTGATGACCACTCTGCAAAGTCTCAGCAGCTATATACAACAACAACAACTTGCATTTATATAGCGCCCTTCATCCAACGTAGGGTCCTAGAGTGCTTAAATGTACGGACACCAAGTGTAAGGAAAGAGTTATTATTTTAACATGATAACAAAAATAACTTGCATTTGATATAGCAGCTTATCACGTTGTTGAGACATCTGAAAGCACTTCATATAATATATAATATATATAATAATCCCCTCAAAACCAAATACAATAATAAATTGGTCATTTTCAATCTACGACTGTTTGTGGGACATTACCTTGCGCAATTGGCTGCCGCGTTCGCCCACAAATTCACTTTACAGTGTGTTCTGTGAAACGCTTTGGGACGTCCTCCCGACGTGAAAAGCGCTATATCAAATGCAAGGATTATTATTATTGTATGTTGTAAAGTGAATTGACTGCGGATTTGTAAATAAAAGGTGGCCAATTGCATACAGCGGTGTCCCACAAACAGCCGTGGTTTGAGTGACACAAAAGGCTAACAACCATAATCCTACTTACTGCTAGATAAACAGAGGCGTGTGGAGGATGAAAATTTGCCTAAGGTTTCTCCCCACCCGGGAAACAAACCCGGGTTCTCTTGCTTGTGAGAAGATTGTGCTAAACACATGTTACAGGACTACACTGCTATGGGACTCAACAAATTGTACAAGAAAAGAACTGGAACAGGAATGTGGATTATCCCACTCGTGGTTTGAAGGTCAGGAGAGTCCCAATGGTAGGGAACACTTCTAACAATAGCACACATTGTGATTCAGATTCAGGATATAATTGAGGGTGTTGTAGCCAGTGTTCGTGAGATGCACATCTGACCAACTCCCAGTTGCTTTCTGCTCTCCCAGGAGATATGGTAACTGATCAATACTTATTAGCTGGGTTCAATTCCCGGCAGGGCGAAACCATGGGCTTGTTTCCTTGCTCCACACACCTAATAATAATCCCGCAAGGAAAAAAATTAATAATTTGGTCACTCAATCCACGACTGTTTGTGAGACACCGCTGTGCGCAATTGGCTGCTTCATTTCGCCCAAAATACACAGTTAATTCACTTACAGTGTATTCTGTGAAGCGCTTTGAGACGTCTCGAAGATGTGAAAAGTGCTATGTCAAATGCAAGGATTATTATTATTATTGTTTGAAAATCTGGCCGTTCCTATTATCGTGTCTAGTGGTCGTAGGTCTTTGCATAATCATTGAATGTGGAAGGACAAAAAATCAATTGCTTAACATCCAAACTGGGTGTATTACTTCATCATTAAACAATAAAGGCAAAGTTTGCATCGACTGAGGCAGTAATATACATTGTATAATTTTTTGTGGTGAGTAAACTGCTGGTCTTTGGTGGTTAAAAATCAGGATCTGAGAGTAACTTACTCCCTTTCTATTATTGCAGCATCTACTCACTGTGTGCTGTACTGATAGAAAGGAAGCTTTTTACTTTCAGATCTTGATATTTGGCCCCAAAGATCAGCACAACTTGGCTCACCACAAAATATTAATATAATAATTAGCTTTTGGTGCAGCACCTAATCACATTGTCAAGATGTCTCAAAGCGATTCACACGATTATGCATGTAACAATGTCCACACAAACAGCCATAAAGGAAATTACCAGTTTTTAACTTGGGGATTGTTGGCCTGCACATTGGAAGAAACTTCCTTCTCTTTTAGAGTAGTCCTACGGGATCTTTAATAGGCATATTATTGGTTTAAGATCTTATCTGAATGACAGCAACTCTGACAATGTTGTGTTCCCCCCAGTACTGCACTGGAGATCAGATTAGACTCTGGGACAATTTTTATTTAGTCAGAAACATTCAGAGACCCATCGCCATGCTTAAGAGTATCCAAATCGGACAGAGTTCCACATATCCCTGAAAATGTGCATCTGAAATCAAGTCCTACGAACTGAGCAAGGCTGACACTCTGACCTCCATTCCATCCATTCATTGACTGAGGTGTGTTTGTAAGATGGGCAGCAATTCAAAAGAACATATGAACATAAACAGTAGAAGGCTATTCAATCCTTGAGCCTGTTCCGCCAGTTTGTTAATACCCGATGCTTCGTCCTTTCGGCATTCCCCCTTAATATTCTACTGCTCAAGTCTGCCTGGCTCTTTCAAACATCCCTATTCATTCTCCCTCTTGAGCTGGGCATTCCACATCCTCACACCACTCTGAGGAAACGCTTCCTGACCTCAACTCTAACTGTCTAGGATCTGATTTTAAGGCTCTGCTCCTTGTTCAGTGGCAGAGAATCTATCAGAAGGAAGAGGCATCCACTGTCTAAGAGTAATGTGTCAATTCTTTTCATTATTATAAACACCTCAATCCCATCACCATGTACTCAGTCCCTTCAGCCCAGGTATTGGTGTAGTAATGGCTCATCCTTACATTATAAAGTTAAGGAAGAGATCAGCCATGATTAATAGAATGGCAGAACAGGCTGTAGGGCTGAATGGGCTCCTCCTGTACCTATGTTCCTATTTGATATTGGGATTTTCATACAGTAAAGCTTCAAAGGGTTTACTCTAAAGTGGAGTATCTGATTTTGTAGGCAAATGTGGCAACCAATTTATGTAAGGTGACGTCCCACATAAAGCCATGAGGTGAATGACTGGTTTGTACTTGGGGGATTGTTGGCCAGGAGACAGGGAGAAATGTCCTGCTCTCCTTCAAGCAGTGCCACTGGATTGTACCAAAGAGCTAGGGGAAGAAAGAGGCAGAAAGGAAGAAACAAATAGCAGAAATTGAGTTAAATTATGTGCCACATCTCCCAGTCTTAAGCTCACAGAGCCCAATGCAGCCCCATACCCCAGCACCAGATTCTCAGACCCTGGAGACTGCTCCACGGGCTGTCCAACTTCCTGAATGAAATAATTATCCTGAATTGTGTTGATTTCCACATCCTGTGGTCTTGCCAATGCCCAGCTCCCCTGATATTGTAACATGAAGAAACTACCAATAAAAGCTGCAGTGTAAAACCCACGTGCGCATTAAAAGTAAGGACCAAACTGCCAGTCAATCCGCACTTAAAAACTCATGTGTCGAGTTGATGGCATGTATTTGCCTGTCACTGTTAATCTGAGGTTTTGCTGGTGTGCTTGTGCTCTTATCTGTCAGATGCAGCACTGGGAACCTCTAGTAGCAGCGGCGCTCAGCCACTTGGTGTTCTTGACTGTGTGGGTGGCATTTATGTAGATGACTAGTTCATCTATAAAAGTATCGCTGTAATGCACAGCAGAGTGACAGACAGCAAGCGTTAAGGAGGAGTGGACAGAGACAGAGACATAGCGACAGAACAACTTTGCAAGTTTACAACAAAGGTCAAAGGAAGAGTTACAGGTAGGTTTGATTTGATGTGTACAATAAGTGTTGTATAGTTACTTGAAGTAACTGTTTTTTTAAGGGTGAATGTAGTAGTCAGTTTGCACACAGCAATGTCGCACAAACAGCCCTGAAGTGAATGATAGATTTTATCTAGGGAAATGTTGACACCGCAAGAGAGAAACCCCCTTCTCTCCAGGATCACTGCTGTCCTGACAGACTGCCTGATGGACATCAAGTCCTGGATGAGCACAAATTTCCTACAGTTGAATGTGAACAAGACTGAGGCCCTCCTGATTGGCTCGCGCCAGCGCCTCAGCACCTCAAGCGCTGACAGCATCAACCTCCATGGTTGCACAATTCAACTCACCAAGCCAGTCAGGAACCTGGGTGTCTTATTCGACCCTCAACTGTCTTTTCTTCCCCACATCCAAGCCATGACCCGCTCTGACTTCCATCACCTCCGTAACATCGCCCAACTCCGCCACTACCTCACCCCTCAGGCCACTGAAACTCTTGTTCATGCCTTCATCCCTTCCAGGCTCGACTATGCAAACGCCCTGCTTGTTGGCCTTCCCAACTCCTCCCTCCACAGACTGCAGATAATCCAGAACTCTGCAGCCCATGTCCTCTCCCGCACCAAACTCTGTGACCCCATCTCCCCCACTCTCGCCCGACTCCATTGGCTCCTTATCCTTCAGAGGATTCAGTTCAAGATCCTGGTCCTCACCTACAAAGCCCTCCATGGCCTCACCCCACCCTACCTCTGCGACCTCCTACCCCCTACCAACCCGCCCGCTCCCTCCACTCAGCCGGCTCCAGCCTGCTCCACGTCCCCCGACCTACCTGCCCAATCATTGGCAGGAGAGCCTTCAGCCACTCCGCCTTGCCTCCTCCTTAGCATCCTTCAAATCCCGCCTCAAGACCCTCCTCTTCGACCATGCCATCGGCCACCCCCCTTCCCCTCCCCTCCTTTCTCCCCCCCCCCCACCGACCCCAGCTCGGTTCGAAATGCTGTACATTGTCCAGCGCTTTGGAACATCCTCCCGACGTGAAAAGCGCTATACAAATGTAATCTTATTGTTGTTCTCTGTGGAATGTTATTGAGCTCCAAACCCTGTCGTTGTTCTTTTCAATGCATTAAATATTAATTCCCAAACTAATTTCTCTCCTTCGGAAAAATTAAAAAATTCTTGTATTTGATAAAACATCTCAAAGTGCTGCTCAGATTTTTGTAAAAGGTACGTATTTGTAGGCGAATGTAGTAGCCAATTTATGTGCAGCAATATCCCACAAACTTTAAGAAGTGAACAACCATTTTATTTGGCTAAAACTAGGTGCAAGTTGATATTCAAATTCTTGGCAAAATAGGCTTGCAAATTAGCTACAAATAACAGGTTCCCCAACTCAGCCACCCATTATTTATTCCATGACGATAAGAGTGATGTGTTTCGCTTCCCCCACTCTTCTCAGCCCATGAAGTTCAAAGAGAATTGGGCAACATATGGGGAAGTTGCAAAGTAGACACACACAGTTTTGAAAATAACTTAGAAATATCATGGAGAGAAAAGAACTTGAACATGCATTTTATAGTGATTCATCTCACAAAATCACAAGACAAGCTTTGCAGTTTTCGTTGGTTTGACTCTTGCAATTTGTGTCCTCAGGCCTTGGCTCTTGCCAACCTGTGCCTAATACTTTCGCAAATAGGTAAGCAGGATGAATCCCTCCAGGGAGAGAGTGCACATTCTAACAACCTATCTCTGGAGTTTCCATGTATAACTGGGATGCATGGAATTCTCAGTTTGGTTTACAAACTGTGAGGCGAATGACCCATTGATAATAATAATTGATTAATAATTAGTAATTGATTATTGTTGCATTATAATTACAATTGATCTGGAGGAATGTTGGCCAGGACATCGGGAGAGACTCCCTCTTTATTATTATATTAATCCCTGAATTTGATTATGGCACCTTTCACATCAGGACATCGCAAAAGTGCTTCACAGAATTTTACTGTAAAGTGAAGTCACTGTGTGTTTGGTAGGCAAATGTGGCAGCCAGTTTGCACAAGGCAATGTCCCATAAATGGCCAATACTTGGCCATCTCCCATTGAGAATGCAGCGTTCTCCTGCGCCAGGGCAGATTCAAAGGGCAGAATGGCCTCCTGCGCTGTAGATGTTGATGAATCTACGTACTTCACAAAGTTGTGATAAACAGCACGCAGACCAGAGAATCTTCTCACTAAACCCTTGCTGTACGTTTCCTGGAAGTATGCTAAAGTAACAGTTTGGAACACAGCTAAGCTATCTCAGTGGAGTATTTTGCACAGATAAGATAGCGGACAAACCTTCACACAGGAACTGCGAAACTCTCTCTGCTTCTGTGTTTTGGGGAGGAGCTGTCAAACGCAGTTCTCGTCTGCCTCTTCCGGTGCTGTGAACATTAACGGATCCTATTGGTAAAGAGTTTCTCCTGGTGTCCTGGACTGCAATCCCTGAATAGTATTGATCACTCACTTCATGGATGTTTGTGGGAATTTGCTGTATAAATTACTTGCGCATTCGCCTACAAAGCACACAGTCATTCTACTTATAATGCAATTAATGTAAAGCACTTTCAGATGGCAACAGTAAATGCAAGAATTTTTAAAAATTATTTCCATTTTTAAGAAATAAACACTTGAACATTGTGGTTATTTTGGACACTGGCTTATCTGAACCGTGATCCTTCTCTTTGACCTTGGCTTTGGTCACGCTCCTACTCCTATCCTCCCTGCCCTCCTGATCCCGACTCCCTGCTCGAGTCTAAATCTCTGACTGTCCTGCGTCTTGGGGGATGCCCGCTGACGTGAAAGGTGCTATACAAATGGCATTTGTTGTTGTTGTTAACCAGTCCTCATTGCCAGCTTTCCCAACTCTCTCCCCTCAAACCTCAATGACTCAGAGGGTGAGATACTGATCCTCACATCTGCTACATTGTCAATGACTCAAAGTGCTTCACATAGTTCGCAGTAAAGTGGAGTTACTGTATTTGAAACCAATTTGCACACAGCAATGACTCACAATTCCAAGGAGTGACCAGTTTTACCTGTGGGAGCGTTGGCCAGGACACGGGGAGAGAAACTAACTTCTCTTTTCCAATAGTATCATGGGATCTTTAATGTTCATCTGAACAGTCAGATGGGACCTTTAATAGCTTAATTTTAGTTAACAGTTTAATAGCTCATGTAAAGGATGACTTGAACCCACAACCTTCTCAGGCTCAGTCGTCACTGAGTTAGACAATTGTGGATTCACGGCACAAGTTATGACTCTGAGCTCACAGTCTAAGATGATGGTCCTGTGCAGTACTGCTTTCTACTTCGCAGGATTTACTGTGAAATGGAGCGACTGTGTTTTTGTAGGCAGAGGCTGCAGCACAATTGCACCAGCAAAGTCCCACAAAAACCTTGAAACAAATGACCAATTTTTTATTTGTGGGTTGGTTGGCCAGGACACCTGAGGAATCTAGGTTCTCTTTTCGAATAGCCCAATGGATCTTTAACATCTGCCTGAACAGTTTAACTTCTCATCTAAATGACATCAATGCAACAGGCCCCCTCCCTCCCAACCCCCACCCCCAGCATTGCACTGGAGCATCAGCTTAGGCCATGTTATTCCAAGTCTTGATGTAGGGCTTTAACTCACAAGTTTCTGACTCAGAGGTGAGAGTGCTAGTGACAGAGCCAGGCTGACACACATGCTTCAGTTCTCTGACCTTGTGCTCGGACCTTGTGTTAGAGCTACCCAGAGTTACCCTGAAGCAATGCTTATCTACTTTATCCATTATCTACTTAGAGAATTATAACAGTTGTTTTATCATTACCTTGATCTTGCTGACAAATTGCTCACTATATCAAAACAGTTTGAGACAGCATTAAACAAGACAAACAGGATGCTGAGTTACATTACTAAATCAGATGGATTTAGATCTCCAGAAGCGATATAGTGCTGGTCAGGCCGTAGGGCATAAGGTTCTAGTCACCATGATGTAAGGGGGCTATCCAGTCCTTAAGGCTGTGCAGAGGAGAAAGGTGGGATTTAAAGATAGATAAGGTGGAGGGGTGCAGGTGAAGAGGTGAGGTGGAGAGATCAAGAAATAATTTCCAGAGGTTAGGGGCACAGTGGCTGAAAAATAATAATCCTTGCATTTGATATAACACATCATTGAGTTGTCTCAAAACACTTCACAGAATATATTGTAAAGTTAATTGACTGTATTTTGTGGGCGAAATGTGGCAGCCAATTGTGCACAGTAGTGCCCCACAATCGTGGATTGAGTGACCTTTATTTTAAAGGGATTATTAACCCTGGAAAGCAATCCACCAATTGACTAGTAACCGGGTTCCAGGTACATAGAGGCGTGTGGAGTAAGGAAACTTGCCTAAGGTTTTGCCCCACCCAGGAATTGAACCCAGGTCTTCTTGCTTGTGAGCCAAGTGCTCTAACCAATTCACTCCAGGACTCCGCACGGCATGGCCACTAATGGTGATGCAGACAGAGGCAGGGGATGCACAGCCAGCCTGTGTTAGTTGAGTGAAAGGAAGTATGTGGTACGAGCAGGCTCTGAAGGCCTAGCCTCCAACGGTAGGGTGGAGGGGGGAGAGGAGAACATCCCAGGACTGAATTTACTGGGCAGAAGGGCAGGCAGGAAATCAGCAATAAAGGTGGATATATTTGCAATCAGATTCAAACCCAAGGATGTCAAAGGTCCTTCCACAATAATGTGTTCATTTGTCAAAGTCTCTGTGAACAGAGAGTGATAAAGCCTGATAATAGGTTGCCACCTACACATTCTCCAGAGCCTATGCTCTCAATTATGATTACATAGAATGAGCAATGCTTGATCAAATATCTGCTGAATCCCCCAAAACGTCTTAAAGCACTACAGGGACAAGAGCAGGAATTTGGGATCAAAAGTAAAGAGCCTCATATGGTGAGGAAGCACCAGCACAGACATGATGGGGAGCCATAAAAATTTATAGTACAGAAGAAGTTTGTTGTCTGTGATGGATCCCTTAAAAGCAATCTTTTCAGTCCCATTTACCTGCCCTCCCCCACCCCACATGCCCCATACCCCTGTGTAGGAGGATGGAGGACAAACATGAGCACAGAACGGTTGGGAAAAATGGCTTAGTTTTGTGCTGTACTGTCGATGTAAATCCATGTTTATATAAATTTTATGACTGACACAAAAAATAATATTTGGCGCTTAAACCGTTGATTGTGAGTCTCGGTCTGAGGATATAGAGTTAGTCGTCAGGTCCCTGGAGCAAAGCCTCTTGCGTGACCCAACAGGGAATAGAGAGGGCATCCTCCACACTAGAACTACACTGTGATGGGATGCGAGTTTGTACAGAATGTACATCCCCAACACTGACAAGACGTTAGCCTGGGTCAGTTGGTAGCACTCTCGCTTCCGAGTCACAAAAACAACAACAGCTACTTGGATTTATACTGTACAGTGCCCTTCATTTGAGTAGCATCTTGGAATGCTTCCCAGCGGTATCTTTTGACGGGGGCAAGATGGTGGGATTGAGGCAGGGAGCTCCAGAGATTTGGAGCAGAGTGGCTAAAAGCACAGTCGCCAATAGTGGAGCAGAGGACAGGAGAGATATGCAGAAGACCCAGGTCAGCTGAGAGAAAGTGGCAGGTAGTGAGTGGAGTGGGGATTCATCAGATGGGAGAGGTAGGGAGGTGCCAGACCGTGAAGTGAGGATCTAGATATCAATCTGTTCTGCAACAGGGAGCCTGGCAAGGACTGGGGACATGGTGTAGAGTCTGGTACTGGTGAGGATACAGTGGTGGTGAGGGGGAGTGGTGGGGAGAGCATTGAATCATTACATTCTGAGTCATTTATATCAGAAGGTTGTGAGCTCAGGCACCATGTCAGGGACTCTGAGCTCATTGTTCAGGCTGACAGTCTAATGCAGTGCCGGGGGAGAGCAACATTTTTGGAGGTGCCGTCCCTTGGGTGAGAAGTTAAACCGAGGTCTGGACATTAAAAAACCCAATGGCACTATTGGAAAAGAGAAAGGAGTTTCTCTTTTCCAGTCTCCTAGGCCAACCTTCTCCAAGATAAAATTGGTCACTCACTCCATGGTTGTTTGTGGGACATTGCTGTGTGCATATTGGCTTCTGCGCAGTCAAAGAGGGGGCAAGACGGAAGGATTGAGGCATTCACCCACAAGATATATAGAGACACCTCAACAATGTGAAATGCTCAATAGCAAGTGTCCTCTGGTTGCTGGCTATGCACAGTCTGTACATGATGAGCTAATAGAGGTGTGACACAATATATATCTTCTGCAATTTACTTGCTGTTTACTGCCTTTGAGGTTAGGGTGGTGACGAAAGCTTCTTCTCTCAGGAGCTTAAGCCCAATGTAGCACAGGGTAAGGTTTGTGTTTTCAGCTTATTGGTGTGTTCCTTTACAACAATGTAAACAGCCACTAGGTGGCAGCTCTGCTCTCCCAATCAGATCGCCGCCATCTTTAATTTCCCTGAAGCAGAGACAAAAATAATAATAATAATAATCCTTGCATTTGATAACACGTCGTCTTTCGAATGAGACATTAAATCAAGGTCCCGTCTGCCTGTTCAGGTGGAGGTTAAAGATCCCATGGCACTATTTGAAAAGAGAAGGCAGTTTCTCCCGATATCTTGACCAACAAACCCCCAAATAAAATCAGTCGCTCGCTTCGTGGCTTCACTTGTGGGGCATTGCTGTGCGCCAACTGGCCGCCGCATTTGCTCACAAAACACACAGTGCCTCCATTTTATAGTATTTCCCGTGAAGCACTTTGAAACGTCCTCCCAACGTGAAAGGGCTTATGCCAAATGGAACGTGAGGGGAGCGCTAACATAACATAACAGTAGGAGCAGGAGTAGGCCATTCGGCCCTTCGAGCCTGCCCCGCTATTCAATTATGGCTGATCTTCTAATCTAACTCCAGCTAATACCATAACCCTGCCTTATCCCCATATCCCTTAATCCCTTTTGCAATAAGAAATCTTTCCCCTAGTGATCATTGATGCTGGTGTAAAGTAACACAACATAAGACTCAACATACCACAACTTAATCCCATTGCAGACAGTCTGTGGAAGGAGCCAGCTTGATGGGTCAAATAGTGTCTTATATGACTTGTAGCCTCAAACAGGAACAGGAGGAGGACAATCAGCCCAACAAGCCAATTACAGTTTATTAGGTGTAGTCAGATCTTCTAATCCCAAAGCCTTGCTCTTTCACCACCCCCTCAATATCTCCACAACCTCACTATCTCTTTCCCTCACTCTGTCGCACCTTTAAATGGAATTAGTTTGGAAGGAGGAAAGTTGTCTGACTATTTGTAACCTTACTTTAAGTTGTAATCAGGTTGGCAGTGGGCTCGGAAGCAAAAGCCATCTGCTCTCTTTTTTTTGGAAACAAAATAAATTACAAAGATTACAAAGAATGTACAACACAGACACAGGCCACTCAACCGAACCCATCCGAGACTCCACACAAGTCTTCACCCATTCCTCACTCCCTCCCACATCATATATTCATTCCCCTCTTATATTTGTGTCCCTTGGTTACAGACTTCCCAACCACTGGGAGCAGCCCTTGCATGTTAACCTTATCGAACACTTTTACAATTTTAAACACAGAGACCAGTTGGCTGCCCCATTTCGCCCACAAAATGCAGTCAATCTATATATTCTGTGAACCACTTTGGGACATCTCAAAGACACGATAAGGCGCTATATCAAATGCAAGGGTTATTATTATTATTAAATTCAACATCACCTCCTCTCTATAGCAACGCAAAACTGTGCTTGTGTCAATAAGAATAGACAGTGTATTCATTTTGTTATTTTCATCCTAAATTGTCCATCTGATCCTTGTAAATCCAGTCCCCCTTACCTAGCTCATTTTCAATAAAAAATAAGTGCCCAATATTTAAAAGTTATTAAATGTCAACATTGCTTTTTAATGCAGTTATCTTTTGATATTTTTGTTAAAATAAGATTCAGAATAATAATGCAGGAGAAGAAATAGGACTAATAAACTTGTGATTGATTAAAAGCACAAGTTAGCGTAAGTTTAACATGTTCTATACTAGCAATGCTAGGTAAATGTGATTCAGCTATCATGTCTATCTCACTGCTTCTGAAAGTGTTCTTCTGGGTTTACTGGAGTCCCGTAGCATAGTGGTTAGTGCGCTCTTCTGCCAAGCGAGAAGACCTGAGTTCGATTCCCAGGCGGGGTGAAACCTTGGGCCAGTTTCCTTACTCCACACGACTCAGTTTACCTAGCAATAAGTAGAAAGGTTGTTAGTTGATTAACGATCACGTTCCCAGGGTAATAATCCTACCCCATCAAAAAAAAATTGATCAGTCAATCCACGACTGTTTTTGGGACAATACTGTGCACAATTGGTTGCCTGTGGGGGAAGAGATTGTAATATCATTTTATTGATTTGGGCAGAGACGGCCAGATGGCGAACGGATCTGCCGAGATTTTGATGAACACGTCAACCATCAATGCCATGACCTGCCTGGTCAGTGACGAGTACAAGTACTCAGTCTACTCCATCGTGTACAGTATTGTGTTTGCGGTAGGCTTCATCTCCAACTTGCTGGCTCTCTACATCTTCTGCTGGGTCACTCGGAACAAGAACGCCTCCACTGTCTACCTGATCAACTTGGCAGTAGCTGACCTGCTCTTCGCGTTGAGCTTGCCCCTCCGCGTCACGTATTACCTGAACGGGCTTCACTGGCCCTTTGGGGATGTGATGTGCAGGTTGTCCTCCTACATCTTCTACCTGAGCATGTACTGCAGCATCTTTTTCCTGACCTGCCTCAGTGTCTCTCGCTACCTGTCCATTGCGCAGTATTTCAAGCTGCAAAGACTCTTCACCTTCAGACGCTGCACGCTCACCTGTGCCTGCATCTGGCTTTTTGTGAGTGTGACCTCGTCCCCTTTCCTGCTCTCAGGCACCCACGTGATCGACGGCAAAGTCAAGTGCTTCCAACCGATCACTATGAGCAACTGGATACGTATTGCAAACCTGAACTACTTAGCGCTGGTAATTGGCTTCCTGCTCCCCTTCGCAACCATTCTGGTTTGCTACACTCTGATGATAAAGCACATCATGAGGACCAGCTGGAGCAGGAAGAAGGTCAGGAGGGATGTGGCCACCATAGTTCTGGTCCTGGGGGTGTTTCTGATCTGCTTCCTCCCGTATCACATCCAGAGGACAGTGCACTTGCACTTCCTGGTGCACCACCACACCAACTGTGACCTAGAGAACACCTTGCGCAAATCTGTGGTGGCCACCCTGTGTCTAGCCACTGCCAATAGCTGCTTTGACCCTTTGCTTTACATTTTTGTGGGCCAAGGGTTCAAGAAGTTTGTTAGAACACGGTTTATGAAAATAAACCCCAACATGGTCTCCAGCTCCTCCAGCACTAAGATCAACACTAGTGAACTTTACTCACCACAGGCCAGAGATTTGGAGCTATGTCCTATGGGACCATCTGACGTGGCTCAGACTCCTGCTTATGGAGGAAGGGTTGGAGATGATGAGGAGCAATGTCAAAGGGAAAACTTATTTAGCAATAGGCAAGATATTTCGCAGTAGTCTCTTAACACCACACACTGGGTTCAACTTTTGAAACGGACCAAGAGTGATTCCTATCAGTTAATCTTACAATCGGCATCTGTTCATTTTATTACTAATTTGTGCTTGAAAAATGTTTCACAGAAAGTAAATCATTTGAAAATAGAATTGATTAGAACTCAAAGCAAATATTTATAAGCAACAGATTGGAATCCTGTAGTGTTGTGGTTAGAGAACTCGCCTTGCAAGAGAGGACCCAGCTTCAGTACTCGGGCGGTGCAAAACTTTAGGCACGTTTTCTTACTCCACACGCCACTGTTTACCTAGCAATAAGTAGGAACCCAGTTGTCATTCGATTGGCAGATCGCTTTTTGGGGGTAATTATGCCTTAAAAAAAATTTATAATTTGGTCACTTCAATCCACAACTATTTATGGACCACTGCTGTGCGCAACTGGCTGCCACATTTCACCCACAAAATATAGAGTCAATTCACTTACAGTATCATGTGCTCCTCACATTTGATCATAAAGAATATCAATGCAGAATCTTTCAAACAAATATCTTCCTGTAATATCTAGGCACCCCATCTCTGTCCTGCCTCTGTAGTTTCTGCTAAAGCAGCAGAACAAGAGAGCACAGGCTCAGGGGCATAAAGGGCAGTTTTAGAACAGACCCCAGGAAATATTTATTTGACATAGAAGTTAATTAACCGGGTTGCCAGGAATGGCAATCCCCTCTCGACTCTCTACCCCCTCCTCGCTCCCTCCCTTCCCTCCCCTCACCCTGACCATTTCCCCCCTGCTTGGGTCCTGATCCAACTGTACAGCGCCTTGGGACGTCCTCCCGACGTGAAAGGCGCTCTATAAATGGAATCTTGTTGTCATTGTTGAATGGTGGTTGATTGAGACCAGAACATTGGAATCATTTTAGAAATACAGTAAACCTCACATCAGTTGTATCAGTTGGGTCCATACATTTAATATGACTTATGCAAAGGATGAGTTATGTCAAACTTGCACAGAATATAAACCCTTGAACAGGACTTGGCCAGATTATACAATTTATACAGTTCAGACTTATGTGGGTTTTACTGTAGTTTGATGCCGTGGTGGGAAGATGGTAGGGGGGATTCTGGAAAGATGAGATCAGATGAGACGAAGGGGGAGTATCATCCCTCTGGGGAGTATGAAGTGTAAACTAGTCGAGTCCCATATTAGCACATCAGCCTGGGATATGGTAAAAAAAACAAGACCTCAGGCTTTAGCTGCTGCTCCTGCTGAGCTCTGATATTTCATGTTCCCTAAGCAGCTTCCAATATTTTTTGCTGAAAATTAAAATCTTTTATTGCTACTTTTTGCATTCATCCTGGATAAATATTTTTTTCATAGGCTCAATGACCCCATGTACTTATTTCAAATAAAACTGCATCTATGATATACCATAATTGCTTGTTTAAGACTGTCAATGAGTGTGAATACATCTAACTTATATTTTGTGCATCGTCACAGAGTCAGCCTGGCCCATTTGGTTGCATGCCTGCTCAAAAAACACACAGTCACTACACTTCACAATAAATCCTGTGAGGTCTTTTCAGACGTCATCCCAACATAAAAGGTGCTGAATCAAACGCAAAGCTTATTATTATTGTTATCTATCTGCACTGGGCATCAGACACCGTCTAATGCTATTAACTTGTTCATTGAATTATTCCAAACTTGCTTTACTCTTTGAGAAACAATAATCTTTACGAGCATCTGGTTCAAATTTACTTTTCATTAATTTCCAGTACACTGTGTCCATTTTTTAAAGTGTCTTTATGTTAGCTGTGCAATTTGTTATTTTATATAGTTCACTTAGAAGCCCCTGGTATAACAGGGAGAGTGGCAGTATGGATCCAGAACTGGCCGGAAGACAGAAAGCAGAGAGTTGTGGTGAACGGCTGCTTTTCTGACTGGAGGGAAGTGTACAGTGGCGTCCCCCAGGGATCAGTATTAGGACCACTGGTCTTCTTAATATACATAAATGATCTGTACTTGGGTATAGCAAGCATCATTTCCAAGTTTGCGGACGACACAAAGTTAGGTAGGGTGAGAAGGATAGGAGTCAACTGCAGGAAGACATAGACAGAATGGTAAAATGGGCGACACATGGCAGATGAGTTTCAATGTAGAGAAATCCGAAGTAATGCATTTTGGTAAAAAGAATGAGGGGAGGCAATGCAGGCTGGTAATACAATCTTAAGGGGGTTAAAAGAACAGAGAGACCTGGGGGTGCAGGTAAATGAATCCTTGAAGGTGGCAGGACAGGTAGATAAGGCTGTAAAAAGGGCAAACGGGATTCTAGGCTTTATAAATAGGGGCATAGAGTACAAGAGTCAGGAGGTTATGATTAACCTATGTAAAACACAGTTGGAATACTGCGTCCAGTTCTGGGTCCCATACTATAGGAAGGATGTTAAGGCATTGGAAAGGGTGCAGAGGAGATTTACGAAGATGGTACCAGGAATGAGGGGCCTTGATTATGAGGAAAGACTGGTGAGGCGAGGATTATTCTCATTGGAGCAGAGAACGTTACGAGGAGACCTAATAGAGGTCTTCAAAATCATGAGGGGATTTGATAGGTTAGAAAGGGAAAAACTGTTTCCACTGGTGGGTGTGTCAGTGACTCGAGGTCACAGATTCAAAATAGTATCTAAAAGAAGCAGAGGGGAGGTATGAAGAAATTTTTTCACGCAGCGAGTTGTTCGAATCTGGAACGCATTGCCTGAAAGGGTGGTCGAGGCCGATTCGATAACTACTTTTAAAAATGTGGTGGACGGGTATTTGAGGAGGACGGGTTTGCAGGGATATGGGGAAAAGGCTGGGGAGCGGCATTAATTGCTCTATTCAAAGAGCCGGCACAAACTCAATGGGCCGAATGGGCTCTTTTTGTGCTGTACAATTCTATGATTCTATGATCCTACGATTTAACAGCCTTCTCTCACAGATTGTTGAATGTCTCGATTTGTCTATTCATGGTTTGTCACCTTTTTATTGAACATAGTTTCACATTTCCTCCACTATCTTTTTCTCCTCCAATGTTCTCCCTTACCGCTGGGGTCTGTCCAGCTCTATTACTGACTCTAGTGACCAGGTCCCAGTGAGCAGAAACCCTGGCTAATTGCCCCCGTTACTCTGAACCCAGAGCTGATGCTTCCTGTAGCCCCACAATATATTCTTGCTCTGCGACCTGCTAACTCCATAAAGAGCTGTACACTCCCTCAGTTCAGCAGGGTCTGGCCTGCTCCACATCCCCCGCCCAGCCTGCCCCACCATTGGCAGTTGAGCCTTCAATCTTTTTGCCCCCACATTTTGGAACTCCAGCCCACAGTCCCTTCGCCTTTCTCCCTCCCTTGCCTCCTTCAATAACAACAACGGCAACTTGCATGTACATAGCACCCTTCACGGAGGCAGGGCAGGCTTAACAGAGACGCATTTCAAGGGCCGTCTCAAAACCCTCCTTTTCGACCACACCTTCGGTCACCCTCCTACCCCTACCCTCCGTGTTATATTATGTTTTTGAAAAGTATTGCTTATGCGGCCCGCGGATGTTTCTCAAATAAGGCATCCAGCTCTCAGCAACAACAACAACAACAACAACCACAAATTACATCTGTAAAGCGCCTTTCACATCAGGAGGACGTCCCAAGGCGCTGGACAGTCAGGGATCAGCACCCGAAAGGTTGGAGCACCTTAGGCTATATGAGTTAAAGTCCTGACGTGGGGATGTGAACCCATGACTTTCTGACTGACAGGTGAGAGTGCTACCACTGTGCCAGGCTGACACTGACAGCATTACCAAGACAGAGTGCCATTCTTGCTATAAGTCTTGGATGCTGTTAATGGCTTGCACTTACATTCCCCATGAGATACATTATTCCAAACCAACTGAAGAGTTGAGGGATGAGTTGTGACGCTGATGGGTGTGTGGGTGGCTGAGAGGTTGATAATGGCAGTGAGAACTCAGCTGTGCTTAATTGCTGCGTGTCACCGGGGCTCAGGCTGGCAGCCTACAGAGACTGCAAACATTCTCAAGGACTCTGAAAGCTGGCGAATTTACTACTTGCGGAGCATTGGATTGGGAAAGAGAGGGGGAGAGAAGGGGAGTGCAAGGGGGGGAGAGAAAGAGGAGGGTAGAGCTAGGAAAGAGAGCAAGAGGGAGAACGAGGAGGTCAGTGTGAGGTTTAAAGTCGGAAGCACAGGATGTGTTCCTAAACCTTAGTGCACAGATGTGAGGACATTTCATGATGGTATTGGGTCTGTGAAATGAAACAATCCGCTTAGCCTATAGAAGCACAGAAGGAGGCCATTTGGCCCAGCATGTCCGTGTGGGATCTCTGAACCAGCACTCTGTTTAGTCTCTTTGTCCTACCTTTGCCTCCTGCACACCTTTTAATAGTTCCCGTTTTCAGATATATATCTGATTCCCATTTAAAGCTAATACAGACTCTGCCTCCAGATTGAACATTCCATGTCCTGACAGCCCTCTGTGTGAATCATTCTAACCTCTCCCTTTGCTCGTTTAGTAATTACTTTTGTCCTTCAGTTGAGATGTTAAACTGAGGTGGATGTTCTGCCTGATTAGGTAGATGTCAAAGATCCCATGGCATTATTAAAAAGGGAAAGGTATTTCTTTCTCCCCGTGTCCTGGCCAACAATCCCCCAAATAAAATTGGTCATTCGCTTTATTGGCTGTTTGTGGAACATTGCTGTGCATGACTGGCTGCTGTGTTTTGCTCACAAAATACACAGTTACTACATTTTACAGTGTATCCTGTGAAGCGCTTTGAGAATCTCAGCAACGTGATAAAGCGCTATATCAAATGCGAGGATTATTATTATTATTATCTTAAATTTGTGCTCTCCAGTCACTGACTCACTGACCAGTGGGGATAACTTCTCCCTGTTTACATTATCAAAACCGTTCATCATTTGAATATTAAACCTTTTTAATGTTATTGTCCGACGAGTACATTTGGATTGTCAATCTGTCGTATCAATTGTGTCCCCATTCGCTTGCACTAGGCAGAAACTGTGATAATGTCACCCAATTTAAAATGTCCTTGATTACAACACTAACAACAGAATGCATTTATATAGGGCCCTTCACACGAGGTAGCGTTTTGGAGCACTTAGCAGCGGTGGAGCCTTACGCCAAGCCAGGGACAGGGTGGAGGTGGCTGTAAGGATGGGCGAAGAGGAAGGTCTTCAAGCATGATCTGAAAATAGGGAAGCAGAGGGCAAGGCGGAGTGATTAAGTAAGAGAGTTCCAGAGCTTTGGGGCGTACTGGCCAAAAGCACGGCTGCTCATGGTGGAACGGGCGGAATGTGGGACAAGCAGGAGGCCGGAGACAGCCGAGGGGAATCGGCGGCTAGTGGTGTGTAAAAAGAGTGTGAACATGAAGGTGGGTGTAAGATTCAGCAGCCGAAAAATAAGTGCTTTGGGGAATTGAGTGACATTAGCTATTTCGGGATTGGAATGTTTGAGATTTAACCAGAGATGACAGGAACTCAGCTTCGTTTTGCAATTTAGTAGCTTTTAAAGTTGATCGGAGGAGACAGCGGGCAGGAAGGACGTCAGATGGTGCGTCAGGGTCTGTACAAGTCGATCAAAGGGGAACCTCGAACTTCCCACCTTATAATCCTTGCATTTGATACATCATGTCATTGAGACGTCTCAAAGTACTTCACAGGATATACTATAACGTGGAGTGTATTTTGTGGGCAAAACGCCAATTGCGCACAGCAGTGCCCCTTCTCTTTTCGAATAGAGCCATGGGATCTTTAACGTCCACCTGATAAGGCAGATGGGTCTTCGGTTTAGTGTCTCATCCGAAACCTGGCACCTCCGACAATGCAACACAACCTCAGCACGGCATTGGATTGTTAGCTTCCCTGGAAAATCACATAGTGATCAGCATTCAACCCTCCGCTAAACCGCCCAGCAGCTAAAAGTCTAGCAGATTAATTAACATCGATGTGCTTTGCCCACATCATTAGGCTCACAGAAAAGTGGGCAACGATATGAATTGACATTAGATTTGAAACACAAATTTCTCACACAAAATACAGTCAATTCACTTTACAATATATTTTGTGAAGTGTTTTGAGACGTCTCAATGACATTATAAGGCGCTGTATCAAATGCAAAGATTATTATTATAATATAAATTGCAGGATCACATCTGCTATCTCTGAGCTGTGATCTCAATCTATCTTTATCAACAACCTGAATCAAGCAGCTTCTCTGTGCTGGCAGGATTACAGTCCAATTATACAACATTTCCCACAGCTAAACAGATACAGAATCCTGCTTCTCATGCTTATTGTCATCACTAAGCAACACCAGCCGAAGCAACTGGCAGCCAAACGAGTGCTCGTCTCAGGCTCTGGGAAGTTTGTGTGTGTTTGTTGGCACCGTTTTACTCTGATCTCTGCACAGGTTCAAAAGCAAACACAATAAGCAGTTTGACAATGGTGAAGGCACCCAAAAGAGTTAGAATAATCCAGTAAACTCCCGATAACTCAACACGGCCTTAACTTGTCACTACCACTTAAGTCATAACGCTGTCAATATCCCGGCCGTATTTATATCATATTTAATAGCATATGCCTAATTCGCTTCCCTTTTCCTTTGGAGTGACGAGTTATCAGGAGTTTGCTGTAATAATAATCCTTGCATTTGATACAAGGCCTTTTACGTTAGGAGGAAGTCTCAAAGTGCTTCACAGGATTTACTGTAAAGTGTAGTGACTCTGTGTTTCGTAGGCCAACTCATTAGCCAATTTGAGCTTAGCAATGTCTCACAAACAGCCATGGAGTGAGTGACCAAATTTTTATGGGGTAATATCAGTTAGGACACCGGGAGAGAGAAACTCCCTTCTCTTTCCCAATTTATGCCATGTGATCTTTAACGTCCATCTGAACTGGCACAGACGGGATCTCAGTTTGACTCCTCATCTGAAGGATGGCACCTCCGACAATATATCATTCCCTCAGCACTCCACTGGAACATCAGCATAAACTGTACGGGTTAAAACAACAACTTGTATGTATATTGTGTCCTTCACATGGAGTAGTGTCTCAGAGTCCCGAGTCCCGATGTGGAGCTTAAACCCAAAGCATTCTGACTCCAGTGAAACTTTGTTAGACATTCTCCAGGTCCTTCCTGAATCTGGGTGTCCAGGACTGAACCCAATCTTCCAGAGGTCTGACCGATGCTGTATATCGCTGGAACAATGAGTCCTAACTTGTATATTCCAGATTCTGTGCTGTGAAGCTCAGTGTCTCATTGGTTTTGTTGATGGGCTTCTATGTTCACAAGCTCACAATCCTACTGATTTATGGGCTTGGGAGAGACGCTTGAATCTTCATGCTCACCGGCCTCCTATACAGTCACCCTGGGTAGCCCGAGATGGACTGGAGACACGACACTGGGTGATGGACATCTGAGATAGACACAAAGATAGAGGGGATTCCACTGGGTCTATCTTTAATAATAATAATCCTTGATTAATTCCTCTCTCAAAGCGCTTCACAGAATACATTGTAAAGTGTAGTGACTGTCTACTTTGTGGGCGAAACACGGCAGCCAATTGTCCACATCAGTGTCCCACAAACAGTCGTGGATCTGACAAGCGTGGGAAATGTATTTTGGGGAGGGGCAATTGGAAGAGCATCTTATTATTTTGTTCTGAAATACAAGATGGCAAAATCTCTGAGAGGAATTTCACTCAGTGCCCCTTCTCCCTATATCTCTCTCTGGCTCTGAGCCGTTAGCTCTGAGCCAACAAACCACAGGCAGTAATCTGCATTTTCGCACGCTGGTACCATTCGCTAATACTGCCATAGACAAGAGTATTAACTGGGTTCTTTTTAAAAGACCAGTTTATTCCAAACAAGTCAAATCAATGAAGTTCAATTCATTTCAATTCTTCCGCCTCATTACGCTAACTCTCTGCACTCAAACACTGGGCTGGATTTTATACATGACTTAACTCTGTTCTGGCACAAGACGAAGAAGTGAGATTCTCTCTCTCGCTTTCTCTCTCTATTTTTCTCTCTTTCTGACCAGAAATCGGAACGGTTTCCATTCTCAGCACCTTGCCCTCCAAAGACTTGATTTGCAAAAAGGCGATAAAAGTCGTTTGCGAGAATCAGTCCGGTTAGTATCTGATGGGACGCATGTCTCATATCTTTGTCACTCTGTGAATTTCACCTTGATCACAAAGCCGGACCTCCCTCCATTAGCTGATGTACCCTCTGATCTATCAGCTAACACACGTCAACTCCCAAGTCAGGGCAGTTGGGGTGTCAGCTGATGAATCAGCCTAAATATATAAGTTCCTTTCTCATATTTCAGAAAAAAATAAAGTGTAGTGACTTGCATTTTGTAGGAAAGCACAGCAGTCAATTTGCACAAAGCATCACCCGACTGACAGTCACAATGACGGCACCTCCAACAATGCAGCACTCAACAACAACAAGATTCCATTCATAGAGCGCCTTTCACGTCGGGAGGACGTCCCAAGGCGCTGGAGAGTTGGTTCAGGACCCGAGCACTCCCCCCCAGCACTGCACTGGAATGTCAGCCTAGACTGTGAGATTAAAGTCCTGACATAGGGGCCTGAACCCACAACCTTCTGACTCAAAGACGTGAGCGCTACGGACTGAACCAGGCTGACAGCAGGACGGCAACACTGCCCCAACACCGCACTGAAGCCATATGATCCTGTCGGGTAAGTGCGGACCCTGGTCAGAGAGCCTGTTACTTCGTTAGGAAGGGCTGTCCCCAGTCGGAAGAACGGAACACAATTATATTGGAGGCCGCATTTTAAAACAGTTTTTTTTATTAGTTATTTTGGTATATGGGTAGGGCAAGTGACAAAGTGATATACATGTTATGTGCAAGCATTATGTAAACAGAATAACTTACAGAAACAGGGCTAGTACATGATTGCCATACTTGATCCCCAACACATTACAAATGCCCCCAGGAGAACAGCCACACACACAGGCAGACGTGATATCAAAGTGTGCAGCAAGAGGGAGCGAGCAGCAGAGAGCAACAACAATTAGGGAGGGGGATTCCATTCAGGTCCACATCATTTCTAAGCATTTGAGAATGCCCAAAATTTGTCAGCTTCTTAAAACCGGCATGACTTCAAGAACTCAGGAACACAGACTTCAAAGCTAAGGCTGAACTCAACAGCTTGTGAAATTGTGGATAAACTCAGCAAAGTAGAGTAAATATACATTCTGGGGTCAGGTTGTGAGGGCATAGAGGATGTGGAGCCATAGTGGGACACCCCAACTTCCTTTTCCCCCTACCCTCTCTGTTCCCGCTACCCCTACCGCTGCCCCTCACTGCCCACAGCCCAATTACTTGATTCCCTCTGCCCACCCTAAAAAAAAACACAATATAAGAGCATTTTTAAAAATCTATAACTTAAATTGACACAGGCCTGGTCATACCCCCCCTCCCACCCCCAACTCCGCCCCAGCCCCTCCCACCCCTCATCTCATCTCCCCTTCCCTACCTTCCTCCCTCGCGTGCCCACACCCTCCTTGAAGAGCCATTCTAAATCCACAAAGAATTAATCACAGTGAAGTTATTAACAGGGGGGGATGAAACCAGAGATGGGAACAGTCAGCCACAGTTCATGGTGTGGGCCGTGTTAGAGGGTGAGGGCGACAGTGTGGCTGGCCTCACAGGTTGTTTCGGAGCCAGTCAATGTAGTTGACCATCATTTTCTGGCCAATGGCGAAATCGGTGGGCCAAGTGACAAACATCAGGGCTCCGTGAAAGCTCTCCTCGTAGTGCTTGTGTGTGACCTGAACCCCCACCCTCCTCAGTCTAGCAGCATACATGGCCCCGTCATCCCTCAGCACGTCGTACTCACAGGTCACGATGTAGGCCTGAGGGAGGCTCCTCAGCTTGTCATCCGCCACCAGCAGGGGAGCTGCCCTGGGGTCAAATATCCCAGGAACGTTCGTGGAAAGTTCTGGGTTGGCATTCCCGGGCAGGGCGTATTTGTAGTCCTTCTTGAACTTCTCAGGCAGGAGGACGCTCCAATTGACAAAGTCCGTCAGGCGCCTGGACTCCAGGGTGGTGTGGTTGTTGGACATCATGGTCTCCAACAGGTGCTTGTCCCGGCTGAAGTACTCACTCCAGAACCGGACCATCAGGGACCTGGGCAGGATGGGCATGTGCTCGTTCTGCTGGTATGACGGCGTGTTGAAATCGATGGTCTGAAGGGCTGGGTAGATCAATGCTTGGATCTTAATGTCAACCTGGACCTCCGGGTCTTCCTGCATCTGTAACAAATTGCTTCTGTCAGTCAGCCCTGTAAGGTTGTCTAAGGGATTAGTTCGTTCACAAGAGCAGGGGAGAGCCCCACACAGTAGAGCCCAGGTGTCTGACACACACGGAAACCCATCACCGTGATCAGCCGGGTATCTGACATATACTATCACTGTACTGTAATTAAGAGTATCCAAACTAGACTGAGAGTTCCGTGTATCCCATCTACAAATGGAAATTCCTGTGTTTAGAACATGCGCTCTCTCTCCCCAGATTACGGAGAGTATTCGGAGTAGGTTGGCAAGAGCCAAGGCTTGGGGACTTCAGAGTGTGCATTGGGCACTGCTGGAATCAACCAACTAAAACCGCATTGCTTGCCATTGAGAGGCCTGTCTGGTAAGCTTTCCTGCTGTTTGACCAGCTAGAACCACATCTTACAATATCAGTATTACTACACTATGACTGTGCCTGCACTGCTGAGCTGTTTCTGCACCGTGACTGCACTACTGGCCTGTGACCTCACAACTGCCCAGTGGCTGCCTGTACCTGCTGAACGACAGCAGCTGCTAAATTGCCACCGGCGCTATCTCCTGAGATCGCAATCCTGTCCGGATTAACCGAATACTGAGCCAAAACTTCCGGCCGGAGGAAGAACTTTGCCACTGAATAGACATCATCAAATTGGTCGGGAAAGTGATGTTGTGGTGCCAGACGGTACCTGTGTGAGAAACAGAGAGACGCTGGTTACCAGCCCACAAACACACCCAGGACTCACTGGTAGAAATCAGCGCAGTGTCATACAATACAAACTTACATTTACACCGCGCTTTTCACATCTGGAGGATGTCCAAGACGCTTAACAATAACTGATTTAATCCTTGCATTTGATATAGCTCCTTATCAGGTAATTGAGACGTCTCAAAGTGCTTCACAGGACATGCTCTAATGTGGATCAACTGTGTATTTTGTGCCCGAACATTTGACATTTTACATTCGACACGACGCCTTTCATGTACACTCTCGACATAGGGTAACCTTTAAGTGCTCCAAGATGCCGTCCGGCGTGAAGGGAGCTATATAAACACAAGTTGTTGTAATCTGGAACGAATATTTGCCGCACTTCACATTTCCACTTTGTACACTTTTCACATTGTCACATTCAGGATGAGTGAGCCGAAACCCAATAAGCATGCAAAGCACCACTTAATTGAGCTCTTAATTGACACTCAACTGGCAGCATCTCATTGGAGAGGTTACGGAAGGCGAAACGGCAGGCGCTCGACTGTCACAGTAGAGGGCACTGTTCGGGGTCGTGATCGAGGCACGGAGTTGGGAGTCAGAGCTGAGGAGCATCACTCAGATGGTACAGAACCTGACTGAGAATCATTAATAATAATAATAATCCTTGCATTTGATATAGCACCTCGTTGAGACATCATTGAGACATCGTTGAGATGTCTCAAAGTGCTTCACAGAATATATTCTCAAGCGGATTGAGATATGTTGTTGGCAAAAAGTGGCAGCCAATTTTACGCAGCAGGGTCCCACAAACAGTGGTGGATTGAGTGATTAAATTACCAATTTTTTTGAGGGATTATTACCCCCGGAAAGCGATCCGTCAGTTGACTAACAACCAAATTCTTACTTACTGCTAGGTAAACAGAGTTGTGTGGAGTAGGGAACCTTGGGAATCGAGCCCTGGTCCTCTCAGTTACTTGGCAAACATACTAACAAATATTCTACAGACAGCCAATACAAGAAATGACCAATAGCGCTACAGATTCCACCAAGTCTGTTAATGTCCATCCAGTCTTGGCCAGACTGAGTGAACTGGCAGTGAACTGCTGCTTTGCTGACAGAGAGTGTGTGTGTGGGGTGGGGGGGGGTTGAGAGGCTTAGGGTGATGGGCTTCAAAGACTCATTCATGAAGTAGAGACTGGGTGAGGGATAAGCAGACTAAGGGGATGTGACAGCCCATCTGCTAAGGATAGGGGGAGAGTAACATTAGGAATTGATTAGATTATCAGTTTAGAACCTGACTGCCTTGTGATTCACGGGGCAGTCTTTCTCTCCTGCTTTATCCCATTTTTCCCTCTTCACCCCCAATTTACTCCCAAATTGAAATGAATCGACTGCTTTGTCTCATTGTTTATGGAATGTTTTGCCTATAAAACACACAGTCACAACAGTTTACAGTAAAATCCCGTGAAATGTTTTGAAGCATGCGACTAACATGAAAGGCACTGTATCAAATATTAGTTTGGATTCCTATTAACCCTGAAGCCCAAATCCCTCATGCGTAGGCAGGTCCTAGCTGGACAAGCAGTGGGAAAGCTTGCCAGACAGTGCGCTAATAATAAATAATAATAATATAATAATAATAATCCTTGCATTTGATATAGCGCTTTTCACGTCGGGAGGACGTCCCAAAGCGCTTCACAGAATATACTGTAAAGTGAGTTGACTGTATATTTGTGGGCGAACGCGGCAGCCAATTGCGCACAGCAATGTCCCACAAACAGTCATAGATTGAAAATGACCAATTTAATTATTGTTTTTGGTTTTGGAGGGATTATTATTAGGCTCTGTGTGGAGTAAGGAAACTTGCCCAAGGTTTCGCCCTCTGCCTGGAAATGAACTCAGGTCTCTCGCTTGCAAAGCGAGTGCTCTAACCACTGAGCTACAGGACTCCGCTAAATGGGAAGCTGTGTGGGTTTAGCTGGTTAGACTGCAGCGATTACTCCGATCCCAAGCCAAGCCTTGGCACCTGCCAACCTGCGCCTAAAATTCACTGGAATTAGATAAACAGGGTTCCTTCTGGGGAGAGAGTGTGTATTCCATTCCAGACATGGACATTTCTGTGTATTCAGGGTGTCGTCCCCCAACCCCCCCCCCCCCCCCCCACCGCCGTCAGCCCAGGCTGGATGCCAGACAGATGGTGACAATCTAAGGGGCTGATCCCTTAACCAGGCAATTCGGGAATGAAGCTCAATGCCCGAGTCACTGACCGAGTCAATAATAATAAAAAAATAATCCTTGCAATTAATATAGCGCTTTTCATGTCTTCTAGATGTCTCAAAATACTTCACAGAATATACTGTAAAGTGATTTGACAGTATATTTGTGGGCGAAACACAGCAGCTAAAAATGCACAGCAGTGTCCGACAAACAGTCGTGGATTGAAGTGACCGATTTTTTTTTTCACGAGGGGTTATTATCAGACATGTGGAGTAAGGAAACTTGCCCAAGGTTTCGCCCTGCCAGGAATCGAACCCAGGTCTCTCGCTTGCGAGGTGAGGATTGACTATATTTTATGAGCTAAAATGCAGCATCCAATTGCAATGTCCCACAAACAGTCATGGATTGAGTGACCAAATTATTACCCTGGGAATGCCATCGACCAATTGACTAACCACTGGGTTCATATTTACCGCTAGATAAACAGAGGCATGTGGAAACTTGCCTAAGGTTTTGGCCTGCCCAGGAATCAAACCTGGGCTCTCTCCCTTGCGAGGCGAGCAGCTTAACCATTACGCTACAGGACTTTTGGTTTCGATATCACGCCTTTCACATCAGGATGACATCTCAAAGTACTTCATAGTGCTGCAAAGTGTATTATGTAGGGGAACACAGCAGCCAATTTGAGCACAGCAACGTCCCACATGAAGTGAATGGCGAATTTTATCTGGGGATTATTGGTCAGGCCAACGGGAGAGAACAACTCCATTCTCTTTTCGATTAGTGATGCAGGATCTTTAACGTCTACCTGAACAGGCACAAACAGGGACTCGGTTTAACATCTTATCCAAAGGACAGCGCCACTGACACTGCAATGCTCCTTCAGCACTCCACTGGAGTGTCAGCCTAGACTGTGATCTCAAAGTCATAACCTGGGGCTTAACTCCAAAATCTTCTAACACAAGGCGAGAGCCCTATCGACTGAACCAGACTGACAGCTGCCCCACTCAGTCAAAGCACACATGTGAATAATGGTCACTTTATTCTGATAATACTTTTATTCAGCCACCAGAGCCCTCCAGCTGTATCCTGCTAGATTTGATACGAGTATAGTTAGGAGATAACTAGATAAAAACACATTGAATTTTTCCAATCAAGTGGTTTCATGCCCTCGGTTTCCTGTTGTTGGGTGTCTTTCAGATCGTGGGCAACAACTGACTCATCGTTGTTCATTATCCAATCGTCTAATTAAATGACACTTAGTAATTAAGTTTAAAGTCATTAAAATTGCCTGAAGAAATACTTTTAGTTTCTCAAATTACCCCTAATCAGCCCGTCGTAATGAATCGTAACGTCAGCCTGTGCCTTAATTCTCTACCGCGTCAGCCTCCACACACCCATGATCTTAAGATCCTTGTCTTTAACTCCCTGCATGTCTCATCCGTAACTGTAATACCTCCCAGCCTCATATACTGACACATAAATGCTCTCCGCACTTCCAACTCGCTCCTCACTCCATTTGCTCCACCGTGAATAGCCGAGCCTTCAGCCACCATCTTCCTCTCCAGCTCGCCTGCAAATTTTGTCTCCATCTCTCCCTCTTTCATAGCCTTCAAAATTCTCCATATAATAATAATAATCCTTGCATTTGACATAGTTCCTTAATCACATCGTCGTTGAGACGTATCAAAGCACTTCACACAATATATACTGTAAAGTGTAGTGACTATATTTTGTGGGTGAAACGCGGCAGCTAATTGCACACAGCAGTGACCAAATTATTAATATTTTTTTTGAAACGATTATTACCTCCAGAAAGTGATCCGCAAATCGACTAACAATCGGATTCCTACTTCCTGCTAGGCAAACAGAGGCGTGTGGAGTAAGGAAACTTGCCTAAGGTGTCGCTCTGCCCGGGAGGTGAACCAGGGACTTCTCACTTTCGAGGCAAGAGTGTTCTGAAGGATTTATTGGTTAACATACGTTAATACAAAGCAAAAGGAAAGGTGGGTTTCTTACTCAACAGACACAATGACAGCATTCAGCTCAGCTGTACTCCTTCTCGACATGACATCGTACGGATGCATTTCTGAAATGGAAAAGGACAGACACATTCACACCATTTAAAACTGCTGCTCTCAATGCCAAATATTGTGGTTTTATCTGATTAAACACACAGTTACTACACTTCACAGTAAATCCAACACACACTCTGGGGTCCCCAAGCCTTGGTGCTCTGCCAACCTAATATTTTCTGGAATTAGGTAAGCAGGATGCATCCCTCCAGGGAGAAAGTGTGCAAATCATTCCAACAATCTTTCTCTGGAATTTTTATATGTAGACTGGGATTCGTGGAATTCTCAGTTTAGTTTGGAGACTCTTAAGCACGGTGATGGGTTTCCGCATGTGTCAGACACCCGGCTGACCAAAAAAACAGAAACCTACTCCACAGAAGTGCACACACTTACTGCACAGAATGAGACTGTTCTACTTGTGCCCACACCACTGCTCATTTTTATCTAAGTCACCTTTTATTATTAACCCCACTTCCCAGCTCTCTTCCCGCAATAGGGGAGATCATTCTCAGCTGCTACACTTTACAGTACATCCTGTAAAGCGCTTTGAGATAACCTCCTGAAGTGAATGGAGCAATATCAAAGGATTATGATAACGTAAGGATTATTTTTCCAGTAAACTCCTCACCACTCTAAGAGAAAAGGTTTCAGTTTGAGTTATCTGGAAGTGGCGAATTCGGTATTTTAATAAATAAATAATTTGCGATCAGGATATTGTTAGCATGATGATTTAAGTGGTAGTGGTAAGCTGAGCCAGAGTCGAATTATCAGCAATTTACTGTAGTGTCAGTGAGGAGTGTAAGAGAAATCAATATTGTGTGATTAAATCTTTTCTGCCAAACTAAACTGCTGCACTATGTAACTATAACACTCACTATTCATCATGTTCAGTGCAGCCATTTACAAAATAAATCATATTTTATGAACAAAACATTCCTCGTCTGTGCCAAAAGATTACCACAAAGAATGATCTGAATTGTGTTGCCTTGAATAGATGGAAAGGTTTCAGTAAAAAAAAAGGGCATGTTTATTACAATTATCAATAATTATTATTATAATCCTTATTTTTGATCCTTATTTTGAGCATCTTTCATATCAACAGGACATCTTAAAGCACTTCACAGAATTTACTGTAAAGTGTGGTGACTGTGTTTTTGTGGGCCCACAGGGTAGCCAATTTGTTCACAGAAACATCCCACAAACGGTCTTGAAGTGAATGACCTATTTTATCTGGGGGATTGTCGGCCAGGACACTAGGAGAGAGTTATTTTCTTTTTTAATATCCACTAAAGAGGCAGTACTTCACTGGAATGTCAGCCTAGTCTGTGAGGTCAAATGTATTCATTGCTCAGCTAGGTGTCTGAAACATGCAGAAACCCATCACCGTGCTTAAAAGTATCCAAACCACACGAAGAGTTCCAAGTATGTCATCTACACATAAAAATGTTCCTATGTCTGGAATGGAATGTGCACTCACTCACCGCAGGGATGCATCCTGCTTGCTTAATTGCAGAGTATTAGGCACAAGCTGGCAAGAACCCTAACCTTAAGTGTGCGTTGAAGTACTGATGTTAAGATAAAACGTAGCTTGTAGCATCAACAACAATGAATACGTATTTAGCACCTTCAATGGAAGTGAATGAGTTGGAACACTTCACAGTGGTGAGGTCGGACCCAAGCAAAAGAGAAGCAGGAGGTGACAATAGGTGAAGAAGTAGGTTTTTAAGTGTTATTTAAAGACAGTGAGAGGGGGCAGGTGGGTAGGGGAGGAGGTGGTTAGACAGAGGGATAGAGGCAAGAGGTTCCACAGGCTAGAGCTGCAGTGACTGAAGGCTTGGATACTGAGAGGGTGGGAGACACACAGCCGGCTGGATGGTAGGGCGGATGGCAGGGGAGTGGGGCAGGAAGAGATGAGAGAGATAGGGAGTTGCTAAGGTGAGCACAGATTTACAGAAGAGGGTGAGGAGTGTGAAATCGAGCAGTTGGGAGCCAGTGGAGCCGCCTGGCAAGAACGGCAAGGACTGGGGAGATGATCAGATACTCACTTGCACTGCCTAGGCACCACCCACCACCGTGCATGTAAATGATTGCTCTCCGCAGCTCCTGGGTGCGGCTGGTCGGCTCGTAGACTCGCACAGGGACGTTGCCGAACGCAGTGTCAGTGACGGTGACGTTCTCGTCCGACGCCGGAGCCACCATCTCGGCTGCAGTGATCACCATCATCATCTCCATGTAATGCTTCAGTCCTATCAACTCCGTCAACTCCGCCTGCATTCAGACATAACAGAAAGATAACCAGTAAGGCAAGCAGTAGCGCTCTCACCTCGGCCTCAGTAGGTTGTGGGTTCAAGCCCCACATCAGGGTCTTTGAGCCAATACTCCAGCGCAGTGCTGGGAGGAGAACTGCAGAGGGTGCCATCCTTCAGATGTGACGTTAAACCAAGGTCTCATCTGTGCCCACACAGGTGGACATGAAAGATCCCAGGCCACTATTGGAAAAGGAAAAGGAGTTTCTCTCTCCAACTATTTCCCCAGATAAAATTGGACACTCGCTCCACTGATCTTTGTGGGACATTGCTGTGTTCAATATGGAGTCCCGTAGCATAGTCCTTAGTGCGCTTGTCTAGCAAGTGAGAGGATCCGGGATCGATTCCCAGGCGGGGCGAAACCTTGGGCGAGTTTTTTTGTTTACCTGGCAGTAAGTAGGAACATGGTTGTTAATCGATTGGTGGATCGCTTTCCAGAGGTAATAATTTACTCACGCCATGACTGTTTGTGGGACACTGCTGTGCACAATTGGCTGCTGCGTTTTGCCAACAAAATACCCAGTCAATTCACTTTACAGTATATTCTGGCGTAACAACGTGATAAGGCGCTATATCAAATGCAAGGAGTATTATCATTATTATTAAATTCGCTCCATGTTAGCCTAGAAACTACACAATCACCATACCTTACAGAGATGTATTGAGATATGCTTCTGATGTGAAAGCCACTGTATCAAATGTAAGGATTTATTCTTTTTATTAATTCCATCCAGTGTCCCACACAGCCCACGAGATCATTTGTCTTGAAATTGAAGACAGCTGTCAAAATTGCCCCCTGTTGCGAGCTAACTCAGTGCGCTTGCTCTCTTTTGATGAATGGTTCTGTTAGACTCACATTCTGTTCACACTATTTTTTGGTCCGCAGTTTGTCTTGCACATGTGGAAACCTATCACCATGCTTACGAGTATGCCATCCAAAGTAGAGTATTGGTTCCTACTAATTGTACCATCAATCAGCTAAACAGCAGGAGGCTCAGATCAAGAAATTGAATTACTGAGAGCTATGATCGCATGCACGCATCTCAACACTGTTAGTATACTCGCATCAATCTCCTGATATAAGCACATCATTGCAAGGTGCGTCTTTTACTCCAAACATAGCAGGGCAGATTTGCAGAACCCACACGGCATAAAATGGGGCCATTCGGCCCTTCATGTCTGGGACGACCTTGGGACATCCTCCCAATGTGAAAGGTGCTATATAAATCAATTTCTTGTTGGCGGTGATGCTCATTCCCCCACTGGAGTTCTCCAGTCCCATTCCTCTGCTTCCCATTGTGTCTGTGCTGGAGCTCTCTACTCGAATTCCATTCCCTGCGCTTTCCCATAATTAGTAATACAGTATTTTTCTTCAGATATTTACTCAATTCCCATTAAAACCTGTTAAAGACTTGGTGAGCTATTCATGATAATAAATTCTACATTAAAAGAACTTTCAGTACAAATAAAATTCTCACTCTGTTGACCTTTATGCACTGTCTGAAAGGCTGGTGGAAGCAGATTCAATAATAACTTTCAAAACGGAATTGGATATTTACTTGAAAAGAAAAAAGTTGCAAGATTATGAGAAAAAAGCAGGGGAGTGGGACTAGTTGGATAGCTTGTTGAAAGAGACAGCATAGGCATGATGCACTAAATGGCCTCTTTCTGTGCTGTAGGATTCTATGATTATACATTACATACTGGTGTGGTTCTCACTAAATATCTCATTCACTCAGGTTTGCAAGGAAATAAAACCCAGCCGAGTGGGCAGAGGTGGAATTGAGTGGAGTCTAGTTGGCATAGGTGCAGTGCCCTATGTGGGTGTATTAAGTCTGAGTGTTGATGTCAATGTGAATGTAGGCTAAGTGAGTGAGTACTAATGTAATGCGGCTGGATTGCACGGCTCCTTGGCTGTGTGTCACTGAAGCTCTGATGACACTGAATATACTCTGAATTACTGCCCAAACGGATATATTGAAAGTCTAGCCTGCTCATTCTTGTGAGTGAATTTCACTGCAATAAGTGAGACGTAACAGAGACTGGCCAGCACATCATTACAGGAGCTATGAAAGCCAGGCTCCAAGGCAGCCACACAGCCATTCTCTTCAAGCAATAATAATCCTAGCATTTGAAACAGAGCCTTAACATTTGTTAAAATATCTGAAAGGGCTTCACAGGAAATATTCTAAAGTGCAGTGACGGTATTTGCATTGCCGAGCAGCCTGGAAGTAAATATTATGCAGTACTCAGCATTAAAGACATCTATGCCATACATATTCACACTCACAAGCAGTGACTTTAGGCTAGACTGAAGCAGAATGCAGCAACCAATTTGCACACAGCAATGTCCCACGACAGCCATGGAATGAATTATCAATTTTATTCCAGGGGGTTTGTTGACCAGGACACGGGGAGAAACTCACTTCTCATTTCAAATAACACCATGGGATCTTTAACATCCACCTGAACAGGTAGACAGGGCCTTGGTTCCAAGTTTGAACGTTGGGCTTGAACCCACAACCTTTTGACTCAGAGTCGAGACTGGTACCAATTGAGGGTGTCCAGATGACACACATTCTTAGTTTAGAAGTAAGTTTCTTTGTAAAAATTGCAAAAAAACACACAGCTGGCAAATTAAGAGCTAATTGATGAATTTTCCACAATCAAAATTCTATTTGCTTTCCCCTTTCCCCAGGGGTAAAATTATGTTGATTTTACCCCTGAGTGGGAACCGCAATGATGTATTCTGATTGTCTCTAATAATAGTTTGCCAAGCAGCCTGGAGGTATACATGATGTAGTGCTCAGTATTAAAGACATCTGTGCCATACATATTCACACTCACAACCATACATATTCACACGTTAGGCTACACTGAATCAGAAAAGTCTCTTGTAACTTCTGGTTCACATGCATAGATAATCACCCACCTCTCACGAAGAAACAGGATCCCATGAGTGTTACTGAAGTGATACCAGCTCTCTTCCTCCCCTGCACCCTGCCATGCTTTCAAGTGAATCACAAACCTCTCTCTTTGACTGTGTTCAGTCACATTCATATTCAACAAACTCCCAACTTCAGTGATGTTGAAACAGGTACCCTGTCCTGATTCCCTCCTCCCTCACTCAGCAGACAAACACACAACAAATCATTCCAGGGATCATCACATCACCTTAGAGGAAATTTGCTAGAGATTGATAGCAGCTTCCTGTCTGGGCTATAACGGCTGATCTTCACACACAGGTGATTGGAGGGCTCACAACATCACAAGATTGGTATGGATGAAGACCCTTTGGCCCATCTAGTCTCGTTCCTCCAGAACATTCGCCATACCATCAGCACCAACAACAACTCACATTTATATAACGCCCATCGCGCAGGATTGCATCCCAGAGCGCTTACCATGCCCTCATCACAGCACCAAACTGTTTTTTTAAATAAGTCCCAGTCCCAGTGTCCTGCTCTCAACCACCCTTCCTGGCAACCTGTTACAATTGTCAATGAAACACTTCCTGGTGTCTGTCCTGAAAATGCGCTTTACAACTCTAAACCTACGTCCTCTTGTTCCATTGGTCAGGTGTATCCTAAAGTATTGTTCCGGTGTTACTTTTACATTTGAACAGAGCATCCACACTAGATGAGGAATGTGCATTGTGGTGGCAGGTGAGATGCTAGCACATCCGTGTGGCATTGGTTGAGATCTGATATAAAGTCAGGCATTGTACTCAGGGGTCGGCAATAACTGCTGAGTGGTCTTTTCAGGCTGAGCTGTTGTTGTCATCATCTGCCGTTCCTTTGTTCTCTCACCTTTGATCTCAGATCCCTAGCTCTCTGTCTGCTTTGTTACCTTCCCTTTAGCCAATCTCCTGTGAAGCTTGCTGCTCTTTTGTTCTTCGGTAAAGACTATTGCTCTTTCAGCAGCGATAACAAACATGGAATATAACGCCATTGCCAGATTGCTTTCCGCCTCTGGCTCAGTTGGTGGCTCTCTCGCCTGAATGGCAAGGCTGTGGGTTCAAGCCCCTCGTTGGAACATTGAGCTCAGACTACGTTGTCACACCAATGCAGAGGTCCTATGGTGCTATACAAAACAACATTTATACAAAAATAAATGTCTTTATCATTTGCTTCAACAGAGTTTAGGTTGACATTAAAGATCCCATGCACCAATGGAAAAGGGATGTTTCTATGTTTCTCCTGGTGTTCTGGCCTCAGATAAAATCAATCTTCCATTTTGTAGCTGTTTGTGGGACACTGCCATATGCAAACTGGCTGCCACATTGCTTACAAAAATACGGTCACTGTACTTTACTGTATATCCTGTGAAGCAATTTGAGGCATTTTGACAACATGATAAGGTGCTGTATCAAATGCAAGGATTATTATCTGTTACCTTCATTTCAGATCAAGGCTCAAATTATTTTGCTTTACAGAAGAACATTCTGATGTCTCTCGTTGTGCCTTTAGCATTTGCTTCAGCTGAATATTTGGTCTCTTTGAAATGAGATTGCTATTATCTGGGCATCTGTCAGTGCTCGAATCCCCAACATAGGGCTCGAACCCCAAACTTCCTGAAGCAGAATTGAGAAAACCAGGCTGACACCTGGAATTAGGTAAACAGGGTGAATCCCTCTGGGCGAGAGAGAGTGTGTATTTCATTTCAGACACAGGGAAATTTCCATGGTGGCGTACATATGTGGAACTCTTAGTCTGGTTTGAACTTTAAGCACAATAATGGGTTTCCGCGTGGGTCAGACACACAGCTGACCAAAACAAAAGTTTTCTCTTTCCTTACCCCCCTCTCCCACAACAACACGCTTTAACTCTGTCCCTGTCAGCAGCAATCTGTCATTACCACTTTCCCATCAGGCATTCAGAAGGCTTCAGTGAGGAGTTGCCAAGTAAATGCCAAAACAAGGGAGATCTGTTTCGTAAGCCCACAGCCACAGCTGTAGGGTGC